AAATAAAATAAAATTTTGAGATAACTTTTACATACGTGCAGTTTTAAGGTTGGTCAGATCATAAGTCATAACTAAGCATTTCTCACCTATAAATGATTCCTCTAAGTTAATTACAACAAAAACAAATATGGAACATGTAATTAAATTATTGATCGTTAATTAATCTTTTACTATCATTCTTTAATTACTTTCTTACCTCCTTTTTCTAGTTATTACCATATACTAGTATTCGACCCTGTGCATTTGCACAAATTCAAATATAAATTAAATATTATAATTTATTTGTATGCATATAATATTAAAATTATAAGTGTAAAAAACTGGGGGAAAACGGGCAGAAATTCTCTAGCACTACATGTAGCACCATATTATGGTGCCACACATGATGTGACACATTATAATTGGTGCCACAACTATCACACATCATGTGTGGCACCAATCATAATGTGCCACATCATGTTGTGGCACCATAATATGGTGCCACATTTGGTGCCATAGAATTTCTGGGAAAACGGGTGCGGTCCCACTAACATGAAGCGCACCATGGTGGGGAAAAGCGCACCATGGAAGGAGAAGTAGCCCATTAGACTTATAAAAATATGTGAATTAGATCAAATTAATATAATTATCACGAACTTTAATTGTTTGTGCAGAACACATGGAGAATAACACAGCTTATATTAAAGTATTGCAATTTGTAATATATATAAATATATATATATATATATATATACATATATAAATAAGGATCTAATTTTTCATTTATAATAATAAAATTAATAATTAAACACCATGTCCATCCAATCAATCTTATTCATTATGTCGTTTTTATGCTAATAATAATGAAGCTTCTCATGTTGTCCAAAAGAACAAGTATTTATTTTTTTTTCCTAATCATTTGATTAGCTATTAATTGAATTTTGCATAATATTCAACTAACTAATTTATTAACCCATCATCTCATTTAATTGACCATGTTGACTTGGAACATATATAAGAACGGAAAAAATTCGAAATGAACGATAACTTTTGTATCTGAGTTCGAAATCGTTGTTATAAGCATGTTAGACGTGGAACATATATAAAAACGGGTCAAACATTTTAATTAATTTGAAAAAAATAATTGGTCAACATTTTAATTAATTATCAATTGAGTATATAACAGTTATATAGGCAGCAAAAGTAATTTATAAATAATTTTTATAATTTATCATTTATAATTTATCAAAACATATCTAGGCAGCAAAACTAATAATATGTAATTATATAGTTAATCACATGATGATAATATTTATCATGCGATCTATAGTGGAATTAGTCATTTCTGATTAATTACAAATTAGATTTCAACATGGATCATGATATTGAATATTAATCATCTAAATAATATTTTATTACAACTTTTGAAATTAGTTGTATTGTTTAATACAAGTATAATTGTACTCTTCTTCATTAAACAATTTTCGATTGTCAAAAGTCACAGACTCACAAACATACTTTTTAAGTTCCTAATTACTTGCCAAAAATAAATAAATACAATAATAATAAAATCAAAGTCTTCCTCGTACTATGTATTTTTTTTATTATTATTATATTCATTGTTATCCACTATTTTATTTTAGATATGTTGGAAATAAAAAAAATGTTGCTTTCTTTATTCATTTCTTAATTTTTAATTATTTACATTAAGAGAAAACATAGCAATTTATATTTTTGCCTTAAGTATAAATTGATAAATAAATGCAACATATTGCAATTGGAAAATAAATAATAAATAAATAAATGTCACGTCTTCACTTGTCCAACAATATTGATTATAGTGTTATCAATAAATAAAACTAAATGTTTTTTTGCAATTTAATATATCGTTTGGACGTTGATACTGCTCCCTTGGACAATTGACAAAAGTTGACGAGTATCAATTTATTTAAAACGCCACTTTCATTTTTCTTACATATATTATGTTGTTTTTTGCAATTTTAATTGATATTTGGGGGGTGTTATTCAAGTCGAGCATCTTGTGATTAATTTTGTACTCATTTAACATACATGTTGATTGTAGTCGTTTGAACTCGTAAAAGTTCGATTTGGCTCTTTTAACAAAAAACAAAAATT